CAAAATAATCATAATAATGTTTGCGGATTCAGATGCACATACATCATGTGCTTGCAGGTCAAACTTTCAGTAAATTATTATTTATATTACACTAGGGTTGGGTTGCTGCTACCCAAGTTTTGTCTGATTGATAAATTTCACTGGAAAAGACATGAATTCACCTTGAGAAAGAAAGAAAGTGAGACAGGAAGAGAGACAGCAGAAAAAAAGTAGATTCCTCCAATTTTTTAACAGGCTCCCTTGTGACTTCTTAGTTCTTACATATCCACATTTTCTCTTTCATTTTTTATGAGTAATTACAATGATTCAATTAATTTGATGTATTTTTCATGACTCATGTGCATAGTAGATAGATTTGCTAATTGTCTTCAATCCAATTTACAACTTTAATGTTAGTATTTCCATAATTTGTTTCTTTCAGAACAAAGAAAAAAGGAAAAAATCGGCTCAAGATAGGATGCATAACTCATGGTTATGCACCCATCAATAACTAAATCTGAACCCTTCATTTAGAAAATTCAGATTTAAGGATGGAGAATTAAAGGCCATTTTTATTTTTCCTAACTTTCTTAATCGGCTCATATCTTCTTCGTTTTAACTCGAATTTTGCACAGATGGAACGTGTTCGTTGTGCTCTACAAAATGAGATACATTTTCAATATTTTTTGAGAAAAAAAAGTTTCTTGCCTCTCGGTACCAACTGCATACCATATGATATCTTCTTCGCTTTTAATTCGTTTTTGAAAATGTTTGCACAGAAGGAACGAGTTCATCATGATCTATTAGATCTACAAATTTTTGGGTGAACAAATTAAAGGACCAAAAAATACCATACAATACCACCCTGGTACGGGGTGGTATCTTGTGGTACACAATATTAAAAGTCGTAAATGACAGTTAATATGCTTCTACTATCATGTATTCAATCATACTACAGTCTTGGTTTGTTCATACCACCATGGTACACTTTTCAAACCATATGTATGCTCTTATTTCAATACCAGTCAATACCATATGGCATAGACTGGTAAAAAATGACTCAATTTTTTTTTTGTTCGGAAAATATATCAAATTGGATATCATTTTGAAGAGCACAATTAATCTGATTAAACTGTGTAAAAAAATTCAACTTAAAACGAGTGAGAAATCGTCCGTCAAAGATTAAATGGGGGGAATTAAAGAGGGATGATGATGTCATGCTGACGTGGACGGGTTACTCACCATAAGATTACTGACCTGATCCGTTCTCGGAAAAACCATATTATAATTGGATACTCATTCCTTTTAAGATATCATATATAATGAGTCTAATTTATCCAAACTAAAAAATTATACAAATTTATCCCAAATCTAATTTGACCTTAATACGCTGAGTTTGAAAAATACCCAAAAATTGAATTTTTTGCCATCCTAATTCATAGAGATCATTCATAAAGTTTCAAAAATTACATTTAGCTAGTCAAGAAATTCTCCGGGAAAAAAAAATGATTTGAGTTTGCCCAACATCTTGGTTACTCCCTTTCCAATAATAAGGGGTGATTTGACCGAGGTGAAATAACTCGTTTGTTTGTAGGATTTTGATGAGGGATTTTGTTCTGAAATTCCTTATAGGTTGGATTAATGACCAAATCTTTGTTTAGTTGAGGTTGGCCTAAATCTGTAGGGCCCATAAATGTGGGTTTCTTCCCCTCAAAATCCGTGGACCCCACTAACTATGAATGACTAAAGTATCCTTAGAAAAAAAACTTTATAATGATAGGAAAAAGGTCAAGAAGGTAAACTCATAATTTAACCCATAAATTCAAGATAGTAAATTCCATTTTGAAATTCAACAAGCAAACATGCAATTTTTAAAATCTAGCAAAATCCAACATAGCAAAATCCAACATAATCCTTCAATCCCAAAATCCAAGATTTTACCAAAATCCTTCATTTTTAAAATCCCACAAGCAAACGACCTCTTAGTAAGATTTTTATGTTTGACTTATCCAAAAAAATATGGATATAGATATAACATAAATTATGAGTTTCTATGTAATTGCAGAAGTTAATTCGCGAAGTCAAACAACTCATTTTCAAAAGAACCATAATTATGTATACCGTGAGGATTGACTATGCCACTTAACCACAACACTTTAGGATATTGTCAAACTGGTTTATATCGATGTGCCGGTGAAGCAAGTTGAATTATGTGATTGGTGGTACAAACAGTTTATGCCGGTCTCAATATAATACACGAGAAAAGTGGGAAATCATGAACACCAAATAAAGTAAAAGTATTTAATATGAATTTTAATAATGTTCACAACAATTTATATAAAATATAGCATTAGTTTATGATATATAAGATTAATATGTATCACAAAATTCCTTGTAACTTATTAGTGTAAAATTGAAACTTGCGAACATGGAGTACTTTGTTCTTTTTTTTAACCAAAGATAATCATATATATTGATAAGATTAGAAGTTACACCCTAGATCCAATCCAGGCACGAAAATCATACAATCGACACGAGGCCAGAGACAAAGAAAGGGTCTTCCTAGTCACTGAATGGGCTACCTTATTGCTATTCTGACCTACGAACCAAACACAAAAGCCACTATTCAAACCAGCAGACACATAATTTCATTGATAATAGCCCCTACACGACTATCTTATGCATCTTTGGCATTAAACTTGTCAATGAGTACCTTCGCATCACCTTCAAACCTCACTTGAGGGATGCCAAGGTCCTGACACCACTGGATAGCTTCACGAAGGGCAATAGTCTCTACCACCAAGGGATCAACCACACCCTCAAAGAACAATCATTTCGTTGCCACCACATTCCCTCCTCCATCCTTCACAATCAGCCCTCCCGCTGAATGAGAATTAGCACGCACCGCACCATCCCACATTCAAACAAGAGTTGACATCTCCTCCTCGTCCTGATGATGCTGTGAAGTAACGCGGCCTAAGACCAATCTATGCTCCGGTAAAAACACCCACTCATGTACCTGTTGATGATATTGGCGCATCAGTTGGGAAACCAAGAACTGCTTGCCCTCAAAAGTCGCCCAATTTCTTGATTTCCAAATACGTCAGAGGAGTGCTACCAAGGCCATAACTTGATCCGGCTGGGTCATCCTAAGCAAACATTTCTTAAGGAACAAAGGGAATGTATGTCGTGGCAGATCTTGCCCCAGATGATCCAAACCCGAATGAGCCCAGAGAGCTGCAGCGACTGGACACTCCCAAAAGAGGTGCTCCATCGTTTCAGACTCCGCCCAACACACCGGACATCGAGACAGAATCTGGACCCTTTTTTCAATCAAGGCTTCCGTGGTAGGCAAAATACGGTGAAAATTTTGCCAGAGAAATAGCTTAAGTTTAGGTGGGATCTTGAGGGCCCATATTTTCATCCAACTCTCCCTATCCATCCAGCTCACTCTAGGGCGCCACACCCCTACCTGGCTATCCACCAATACCGCTAGGTGATAGGCGGATTTGACAATAAACACATCATCACACGTATCATTTCATACCAACTTATCCTCGATACTCATACGAGGTAGGGGGATCGCCAAAATCTCTCGACTGACCTCATGAGGAAACATCTGCTGAAGTGAATGGCGACACCAACCCCCCTCCACAGGATCGAGTAGCTCTGCCACCTTTGGATCAGAGTCATCCGATATTACTTGAGGCTTGCACATAGGAGGGTGAGGATGAAACGCCGGAACCTAGCTAGAATGCTTAATTGAGACCTTTACTCCATTTCCAACTTGCCACCGAATTCCTCGCTGAAGGAGGGTGAGGCTAGCACATGGAGTACTTTGTTCAATCCTCGTGAATGGTGTTTATTATTGGAGGACATGTGGGAAATTGATGAAATCCGGTTTCTAATTTGACTGGCATGTTTTTTTTTTTGGGTTTGATCGACATTTACCTGATATGACCAAAACAAAATATTGATCCATTTTCAACCGGTTTGGTGAACCGACCGGTATGAAACCAGCATAGCAACCATGGATACAATACAACATGTGTGGTTTATTTTTATTTAAGTTTTGTTATGTACGAAATATTTTTGACAAATAAATCTAGCTAGTGACAATGCTTCAATGGCACAATTCAGCGTGAACTCCTTCCTTCTTAAAGCCAAGAATTTAAAACAGTACTAGAGTTTGTATAGAATAAATAAACGGTACTTGATTTTGTTTTTTAATTCTGGTATCGTTTCATATTAATAAAATTTTATACTATATTGGATTTTGATAGACGATTTTTCTGATCGGACCGACATTACAAACTACTTAAACCCCATTGATAGAAAAAGAGAGAGAAAATTATGATTATGACTTAGATTTCTTTACTATTGTTAGGGCTGGCTATTTGGACCGGGACCGGATGAAAAACCGGAAACCGGACCGTATAACCCGGACCGAGACCGGCCCGGGACCGGATAGTAAACAATCCAATCCAATCTTTGGGCTTAGATTTGAGGTAAAAAAACCGGATAAAGACCGGATAAGAGAGCTCTACACCCAAAACTTAAGAGTAATTTGCATAAACGGTCACAAACATTTGCACTTAGTACAAAACTTAACCAACTCCTCACCCTTTTAGGCCTTAGGCCACTCAAATTCCCACAATCTCAATATAAAATCAAGACCAAATTCGGACCGGACCGGGTCAAGACCGGACTGTATCCAATCCAATCTTCGGTCCTTATATTTTCAAAAAAACCGGACTGGACCGGATCAATTTGGGCCAATTTAACCGGACCGGACCGTATAGCCACCCCTAACTATTGTCATTTTTCTCTTCTCAAGGTTAGTTAATCCTCCTTTTCCTTGTACCCAAACAAATGTATAATATATCAGCACATTTCTTTAATGAAGAAAAATAATGTCTCTTTTTCTTCTTCTTGCTTGCAGCTGCTTTCTTCATGGGTTGCTTTCAGCATCCAAACTTTTGCCATATTATCATCAGTCTTTCCAACCCTTTAATAGAGAGATAGGATTTGACCCACAAAAAGGAAAATCAGAAGAGAGAAAAGTGAAAGAAGAAGAAAAGATCAGAAAGAGAAGAGAAACAAAGGAAAAAGAACCCACTAGAGAAGGCAGAATGGAGCTCACTCCCCAACATGGTTTCTTAGAGGAGTTGCTTCATCATCATCATCATAATCAGGCTCTCCCTACAAGAGAAAGCTGGTCAACTTTTCCTCTTGCTGCAGCTGGACCTACTTCTTCTTCTACAACTACTACTTCTACTGATAATCTCTTCTCCAATGGCTGCTGGAGCTTTGACTCTTTTGATAGCCATCACCACTCTTCAGCATTGCCTTCCATGGCCACCTCCATTCCTCCCCCACATCTTCTTCCTCCATTTCTTCCCTTTGACTGCACTTACACTGACCAACAATCTAATTACCCGTTTTGTCCTGATGGTGAGTTCAGCATTGACCAGAGTTCGCCATCTCTACTAATCCAACCAAACACAGTAGATGAAGAAGAGCAGATTGGGGCACTTTTCTGCACCCAGCAGAATGTTGAAGAGGAAGTAAATGGGGACATGGCAATGGGTTGCTGCAAACCAGAGGAAACTGCAGGGGAGGACGGGGATCTTGCTCATCTCCAACCTTGTATGGCTATGTGGTTTTGTGGAGAGAAGAAGGGCAAGTCTAAGAGGGTAGAAGGGCAGCCTTCCAAGAATCTAATGGCTGAGAGGAGGAGAAGGAAGAGGCTTAATGACAGGCTCTCTATGCTGAGATCAATTGTGCCTAAGATCAGCAAGGTCTACTAATTTTTCTTCTCCCCTCTTTTACTTTGTTTGTGTTTATGTGTCTGTATGTTTTCTCTTTTGGTTATTTTCTGTCATTGGCATTGACAAGGACAAAATTGTGTGGGGTAGATGGACAGAACTTCAATCCTTGGTGACACAATTGACTATGTGAAGGAACTCCTTGAGAGGATCAACAGATTGCAGCAAGAAGAAGTAAAAGTAGAAGAAGAGAGTGAGGATGGAGTTAAGCAAGTCAAGTTGATCACCAACTTGAATGACACTAAACCAAGTGAAGCTCTTGTCAGAAACTCCCCCAAAGTCAGCATCCTATCAATTTTTATTTTTTTTTTAATTTTCCTGCTTTCCCACATTTGAAGCATATGCAGATCAATTTAACCAATACCCATTTGCTGGATTCTTCTTCTCGACAATGCAGTTCAGTGTAGAGAAGAGAGAAATCGAGACCCGGATCGACATCTGCTGTGCACCAAAACCGGGACTGCTGCTATCAACTGTGAACACCATTGAAGCATTAGGCCTGGAGATTCATCAGTGTGTGATTAGCTGCTTCAATGATTTCTCAATGCAGGCTTCTTGCTTAGAGGTATGAACATAGTGATACTTAATTTGTCTTGTCCCATTTAAACACATGAGGTTATGAATCACTTGGAACTGTCTAGTCCTCTGATGGGTTTGCTTTAAATTTCCATTGTTTGTTTCCCCCTTCTTTTCTTTGGCTTGGTTTGTGCAGGGTGGGGAGCATAGGTCAGTGATGAGTTCTGAAGATATAAAGCAGGCCTTGTTTAGGACTGCTGGCTATGGAGGGAGATGTTTGTGAAGGGGGGAAAACTGAAAAGTAGAGAGACAAGAGAAGAGGCTGAAAAAATGTCTGGTCACAATCAGAGATTCTGCAGGGGAAAAAACAATGGAGCATTTTGCCAAAGTCTGTTGTAGCACTCATGGGAGTGATAAATGGACGTTGGAATCAGTCTCACCAACTGTACTTTCTAATCCTCTAATAAGTAGTAGTAGTAGTAGATCTTGTCTCTTTCATTTTCTCGGCCAACTTAAATCCCTTCAATCAAGGTGTTTTATGATTAGGTTAAGTGAGCTTTGGTCTAGTTAGCTATCTTTTCCTGCACTAATAAATAAGGACAGCATGAAGAGCTGAGGACAATTTGTTTGAATAATTTAGCAGCAGAAGGGCATGTGGGCAAGAATGTTGTTTGAATAATAAATGATTGCAGATCTTATTATGTAGGAGACTATTAAATTCAGTTTCTTTTCTACTTTCCTGGGGAGGTTAAAGAATTCATTGCTCAAATGTCGCATATGACACAACAGTCCATAAACCAGACCAATAATTTGCCCAATCTTGGCATAGCAAATAATGGTAGTGACATTTTTTCCTTCTTCTAGTAACGTGGTGACATTCTTTTCACATTTCTTTCAATGAATGTTTACGCAAGGTTTTGGGGATATTTCTTCGGATAGATTATGGGTTGATTGGTTTAATAGGCCGACCACACACTCTCTTCGGTGGATAGCTTATAGGTGCATAATTAAATTGTCAAATTTATTTCTCTTTTTTTTTTTTTTTTTTTTCCAAGAGATGTCAAGAAAGAACCTATACAACCTACCCAGGCCCTGCCCAACCCAATACATTAGTGAAGCCATCCAACAAAGTCAAAGGAGCATAACTCTAGAGGGGAGAGTAACAGGGCTTTCTGCGCCACTCTATGGGCAGCCCTGTTAGCAGTCCGAGGAACAGCCCTAAACTCTAAAAAAACAGAGATAGAAGACAGGAGCAGAAAGCAATCTCTAAGCACCGGACCACCAAAGGAGTCTGATAGAACGCCTTGACGAAGCTGACGAATCACCACCTCAGAATCTCCTTCAATGACGACCCGAGGCAATAACTTGGAGACCAAAAGGGAGATGGCGTCTCTAGCTGCAAGGAGCTCTGCTAGATAGGGATCCGAGATACCAGGATGAAGACTCCCTATAGCCAGAGCCACATGCCCATCTGAGCTGCGCAGCACTAGACCAGACGAACACCCAGAAGGACAGACAGCAGCATCAAAGTTGATCTTCACAAAACCATCAGGGGGCGGAGACCAAGACGAGAGACGATCACGGGGAGGCTGGGGCGGAGCAGGGACCAAAGGAAGGGAGGAGGACAGTTCGCGGACTTGGAAAAAACACTGACGAGCGAGAGACTGGGCATGGGTCTGGACATGCTCAAAGACCACCTTATTTCTAGACTTCCAGATCCTCCAAAGTACACAAATGTACAGGAGGATGTGGGTTTGGGGGTGCTCAGAAAGCATAACATGTCGCCACCAGAGACTGAAATTTACAGTCGGGGCCGAGGAAATGAACTCATTTAAACCCATTAGCGACCACAATTGTCTGGCCAAAGGGCAATTGAAGAACAGATGTTCAAGGCTTTCCGGTCCTCTCCAGCAAACTGGGCAGCGAACACGACAATTTACTCCTCTAGTCTTGAGGGCCACTACCGTTGGTAGTATCACTCTAAGGCATTGCCAGATAAAGAATTTCAGTTTTGGAGGGGTGACCAAGTTCCACGTTTTCTTCCAGATAGGAGGATCAATAATTTGGACTAGTGGTTTTCGACTCGAAGCTAGGGATAGTTCAAGAGCTAGATGGTACCCCGTTTTGACTGTATATGAACCATTTTTTGTAAAATGCCAAACTCTCGTGTCTCTTTGTTGACACCTCGGGAGTGGAATTTTGCATATGAGATTTACTGTTGCAGGATCAAAACAATACTGTAGTCTTGGAACATGCCATGCCCCTCCGCTTTCCCTAATAAAGAAGGACACTCTAGGGGAATTAGTTATGTTCGAGAGGCGAACTAGTGGGACCAGGGGTTTTTCAGCACTAACCCACTTATCGTTGAAAGCCACAACGTCCTGCCCATCTCCAATTTGCCATCTTAACCCTTGAAGAAGGAGGTCTCTTCCAAACAATAAGCTACGCCATCCCCAGGAAGGATTCGACCCTACACTAGCATCCAACACTGATCCATGCTGAAAGTACCGACCTCTATAGATTGAAGCCAGAAGGGAGTTCGGATTTTGCCAGATTCTCCAACATTGTTTTGCTAACAAGGCTTGATTAAAAGCCCCAAAGTCTCTAAATCCTAGGCCCCCAAAAAATTTGCTATGTGCCAAGCTTTTCCAGGACACCCAGTGTATTGGATGATTAGCATTCTCTGCTGAACCCCACCAGAATCTTGCCACTTGACTATTAAGTCTCCTGCAATTCTCTTTAGGGATTCTAAAGCATGACAACCCATGGACTGGGAGATTGGTGGCAGCTGTCCTAATCAAAATGTCTTTCCCAGCCTTAGATAACATCCTTTGTTTCCACCCTTGTAACTTCTTAATGAGCTTCTCTTCTATGAAAAGGAAAGCTTCTCTTTTTGACCTAGATACGATTGAAGGGAGTCCCAAGTAATAATCTTGTTCTCCAATACTTCCCACTCCTAATTGTCCACCTAGCTCCCCAGCTAAACTTGGGTTCATGTTACGACTGAATAACACAGCTGACTTCATGTTACCCTTCTCCAACCCTTCTGCAGTCAAATTTATTTCTCTGTTAGTGGGTAATGTTCGCCGGATTTTCTCACAATCAGTTGTTTATATAATTTGTTGTTTTCCATGTCCTATAGTCAATTTCATTAAAAAGATTTTTTTTTCTCCCTTTGGACAGCTAGGTACTTTTTTGGCTTAATTGCAAGTTTGGTCACTCGAATTGCTATAAAATTTCACGTTTGCCACTCAAATTAATTTATTCCATTTATAGTCACTCGAATTAGTTGAACAGTTCAAGTTCGGTCACTCTCCGTTAACCTCCGTTAACTTTGACTGACGTGGCGGTCAATTCTGACAGTTGACCGTTAAATGTGTGCGTAGCAAATAAAAAATAATTAAAAAATAAAAATTAAATTTTTGGAAATTACACATCATTATAAAAAAAAATTATAAAAAATGAAAAAAATTACACATCCTGATTGAACTCCTCATTCGTCTACCGGACACAAAATCCGCCTTCCGATCCAAACCCGTCTGCAAGCAATGGAACTCCCTCGTCTCCACTCCATACTTCGCTCGCCGTTTCGTTTCTCACCACATCGCCGGCGAATCCGAACCCATCGCGCTTCCGGCTCCCTCAAACTCAAACATCCCGGATCTGGTCTCGACTTTTCTTCCCCTGCCTACCGCCGAGGCCTGTTTCCGTTTCGACATTCTTGATTGCTTCAGGGACCTGCTCTTACTCGGGTTCAACGCGAGCCGGAGCGACAACAGCAGCGAGCTGGGGCGAACGTTATTCCTCTGCAATCCATTCACCAAGCGATGGGTCGCCCTGCCTTTAGCCCCTCGGAGGTGGCTCCGACCGTACACAGATGCTTGCTGAAGAATGATATGCTGCTACTGTACACATTCGGTTTTCATTGGTTTTCATGCCTACATGTCTCTTTTTCTTTTTTAGTGGCTTCAGTGCTGTCATTTTTTGTTGTTCATGGTAGTTCAGAGAGGATATCTTTAGTGGGCAACTATAATGGATACTTCTGGGTTCTAAGCTTCTGCACATGATTTTTCTCATGGGGGATATCTTTAGTGTTTGGCGACTAGAAGAAAATAATTGGAAGAGAAGTTCATGTGCTTGATCTTCTTGTATTGATATAGTGTTCTGCAAATTGCAATTCGTTGGCTTAATCGCAAGTTAGAAGAAAATAATTTCTTTTTTTCATTTTTTATATATTTTTTATAATGATGTGTAATTTCTAAAAATTTAATTTAAATTTTTAATTATTTTTTATTTGTCACGTCACACATTTAACGGTCACCTGTCAGAGTTGACCGCCACGTCAGTCAAAGTTAACGGAGGTTAACGGAGAGTGACTGAACTTGAACTGTTCAACTAATTCGAGTGACTATAAATGGAATAAATTAATTTGAGTGGCAAACGTGAAATTTTATAGCAATTCGAGTGACCAAACTTGCAATTAAGCCGTACTTTTTTATTCCATGTTACTAGAAAGATGTACGTAGTACAAATATATTATGTAAACCTTATAATTAACGACAATGTTCATAATCTCATCAATTTGTATGTCCAAAACGTTCTCTAAGGTAAGTTTGTAGTTTGATCAAATGTGATACTTTTTCCATGACTTCATTTTATCATCAAACCACACACTACAAAAGATTTACATAACACCATTCTGTAACAATTACATAAATTGCGAATACATTGTGTAAATTTTACAGAGAGATAGTTATTTGTTATGTATCGATTAAATAAAACATACAACATAAACTTCCGCAATGACTAATGCAATACGTAAACTTAATAGAGGGATAATAATCTCTTATGTATCAATTAAATAAACATCTTTCATGAAATAAGTTTGAATGAGAACTCCTAAATTTAATTAAACTGTTAACGATCTTGTCGATTTGCACTACCCAAAGGTTTTGTAAGGTCGGTTAATTTTTACATAAGTACATAACAATTTCACCAAATGTACTTTTATAACTTAATTTACTTATTATTAACTAAAACTATTTCATTATTACCTTCAAGATCTAACATCTCGACATTTTGAATTACGAAAAAATTAAATCTTTCGTAAGATAATTTAATTTGACATAATAGTTTAATAAAATGTGAGACTTATATATAATTTGATTTTATTGTTAGACAACACATTACAGAAGATTACGTAGCATCATTCTATAACAGTTGTTAAATTGAATTACGTAAAACTTAGGTTTAATACACTTGTATATCCAAAACTTTCATGGTTATGCCAATAATATCCAAATTTCCCGAAATACCACTTATATCCATGTTTTAAAGTTGTTCTTTGCCAAATCTATCCATTTACGTTAAATACTTTGACGGCGTTAATAACTCCGTCAACATAGCTTACGGCAAGCTGACTGGGCGCCAACTAAGCAGACACGTAAGCGCCAACTATGCCAAAGGTGACATGTAAGAAATTTAAAATAATTTCCACAATTTTGAAATTAGGGTTCTTCCCCAAAACGTTGATCGAGTAACACGCTGGGCGATCACAACACCCAGCCTTCATCAAATGCATGCTCAGATCAAGAACAGATTAGGCATCTTCAATCCATTACCGTCACGCTCAGATCCAGCTCCGCTGGCGCACTTTCATTCTCACCGCCGGCGTTGGCCAGGAGCTTGAAGTTGCAGACCGTCCCCGCGCCGCCGACTCTGTACCAATCACGTCGGGAACTGAGGTTCAGGCAGGTGAGCGACTGGGGTGCGAAGCTCAGTGACGCCATGAATGGTTGGTTTGGATGGTCAAGAGCTAGCTTCCGATGAAGATGAGCTCAGACAGAAGAGAGTACTGGAGGAGAATCGCCAGCACACAAAGCTCAGTCTCCGCATCAATCGTCACTCAATCCCACCTTAAATCGCGCACAGTCCCTGAAACATCTGAGTCTTCTTCTCACAAGCCCAGTTTTGAGGTGAGATTGAGACCCGAGAGAGACAACGTCGGCGAGATTGAAAATGCAGGTCTAGGCTTTTGGAGGTCTCCGTAACTTTGGGAGTAACAGAGTCTCCCCAAAGCTCCCGCATCATCGTCAGGAAATGGTAGTGGCTTACTGACTTCATCATCGTCGCCGCGGCAGTACTAATTAACCCACAACCGCCGCGACCGCGGCTTCTCCTCCGCCGCTGAGAATGTCGTCTTTGACAGCGATTTCCAGATCTAGGAATTACCCACCAACACCCACATCAAGGCCAACATAGTGGCTTCAAGTCCTTCTTGAATCAAATTGACACAAAACTCACTCACATCCCCATTTGTTCAACGAAGGAGAAGAAGATAGCTAGTGCTTAGTGGTGCTCGATTTCAGAACAGGGAAAAGAACACCCTTTGTCGAGTCCCTGCTAGTGGTTTCTCGAGTCCTTGCTGTAGTGGAAGAACAAGGATAGGCCGATATCGCACTCGAAATCACAAAGCCTCCCTCTAGGCGAAGGAATTGTGGAGTTTTGAGTTCGACGAGGCGGAGAAGCGGCGGCGACGGTTGGTTGAGCTAAGTAATCACACATGGAAGAAGGGAGTGTGCGTTTGGTGGGGACCTTTCATCTCCTTTTTTATTTTTTATTTTTTAAACTTAATCCAGCGTGGAATTGTTGCTGGTGAAACTCGCCAACTCAGCATTTTCGTTTGTCCAGCCAGCTTATTAGCTGACACCGTTAAAGAATTCGACGGAAGAGGCTATAAGTAGTATTTCGGAAAATTTGGATATTATTGGCACAACCATGAAAGTTTTGGATATACAAGTGTATTTAACCTAAAACTTATGAAGGTTGATGAAAAAGTTATTTCTTACGTATTAAATAAACAACCGTGTTATTTAAACCTTCCGTAATAATTAAGGCACTACGTTAAAACATATACAAAAGCAGCTTACCCAAATTATTTTTGGGAATAAGTTTATTATTTCAACTTGGATAAAATTTTATTAATAAAATAATTAGTTTATTACCACTAAGAATATAGTTATAATACTTTGCAAAAGAAAAGTCACCACATGATAGCCAACAATTATAACTATTAAGTGAACCGTGTATTGCAAATCAAATTGGTACATAACATTATTTCATTATTGCCTAGTTTTCTGTACTTAAAAGACTGGCAGGGTTGTGTTGGGAAATGGCAGATTTCAGCCACCTGCTCAAGAACAAGGGCATACCATATCAGCGGCTTGCCCATTTGTAACAGAAGAAGGATTTGTTGGTCCACAGTAGACATGTGTCGAGCTGGCTATGACGAAATGGGCAAAATAACCAGTCAGAATTATTGGTACTTTCGACAGGAAAGGAAGCACTTTCTGAAGTTGGAGGAGGTTTCACTCACCACAGTAGTGCAATTAGAGAATAGAAAAGCAACCTTACATCTTGGTAGAACCTGATGCATGCTTGTTTTGTTGGCATAAATATGATGTATGGAGCTAGACATAAAGGACATTTACAGAGAAGCCTAGATTGTGTTGTCAATTTTGATGGTAGTTTGTTGTTCACAGGATGAAAGAAGATGATGTTAGCAAGCTACAGTCAACAGTTGTACTAGGAGAAGGAAAAATTATTGACATAGCTGGTTCCAATCTTGGCTTCGTTACATTTCAGAACCCTAATAATCTGCTTCTGCTGCGAAGTCTCTGGAGTAGAAGGCAGGAGATTGTGATCACAATCTTGAGCAGATGAATTCCTGTCAGGTTCTAGAAAGGAGAATAGATCTGCTTTGTGACTGTGGTCCCGGTGGTTATGCTTTTGCAGCAACTGTCTCACTGTTTTCTGAGCAATATGATGCTTGTTCCCAGTGATTAACCTCTTAGTCTTCTCCCTGCAGGAATCCAATATTTTGCAAGCTGAGAGATCAAGAGATCCAATAGGAGAAGAAGATTTTTTGGCCCTCGATCATCGAGGCGGAGATTGAGGTGGAGTTGCGTTGCCAGAGTGTAGTTTGTCAAAGCAATCCTGTGCAGACTTTCCAGGCACCTACAATCAATCTCAGTGTACACTTTGACAAGCTCAGAGTTTAAAATTAAAGAAGAGACATGTTAATGCCACCAGTGAGGAACAATGAACCGGAAAGTGCTAGGCCCCAACAACAGAACTGACAAATTTGAAAATGGTAACTTCATTCACGCCTAATAAGCTTTGGCTGAAGCAACTTATTTTCCTCAACACAACTTCATAAGTCTATATCTATTGAGCCACTAGTTAAAATGACGGGTTAATTGCAAGGATGGTCACTGGGTTTACTAAAACCGTTCATGTTTGGTCACTGCAAATATTTAATTCCATTCATGGTCACTAAGATTAGTTCAATAGTTCAAGTTTGGTCACTCTCCGTTAGTCTTCGTTAGTTTTTGCTGATGTGGCAGTCAACTATTATAGTTGACCGTTAAATGAGTGACGTGGCCATTAAAAAAATAAAAAAAATTTAAATATTTACAATTTCACCTCATTTTACAACTATTAAAAAATAAAAATAAAACTTGTGCATAGATGAAGACGACTTTGGATTTTTGTTGGGTGGTTTGCTTGTTGGTTCCTCTGAGGAGGGAGTTTTACCACAAGTATAATGGTATGGTGTTTGTTTTGCCTCCCGCCTTGTTCATCAGCAGCTTCAAGGAAGGCGAGAGAAGGAGAAAGTGATTGTGATCTCTATATATTGGTTTATTAATCGCTTGATTCTTTCCCA